ATTGCCGAATGTAGGTGTCACCGAAACTTTAAAAAATGTTCGAAAAAAATTGTTTTTCGAATTTGCCTTGCATAAATACCTTAGACTCAGGGATGTACGGCAAACCCCTTTTTTGTTCGCTTGTAAGTTGGTACGGTCTAATGTACATACATATTTATGAAAATCGGAATCTGCTATGTGGAGTATGAAAATTAGAACACCTTTTCACTTTTTAGAAATCAACTTTTCGGATTTCTAAATAAAATGTTCAAAAATTCGGATACCTTTACTGAGCGAAAATCAAATCCATAAAAATGTGACAAAAAACAATAATTTTTTTCAGCTGTAATGCATAAATTTTAAACTTAAAATACATACATACATACACAGTAAAAAACTAACAAATCTGTTGAGTTAATTAAAACTTTTCTCACGTAGGTAACTAGTAAAATTTACATACATACATACATACGTATATTCAGAATAAGTAATTGAATAGTCATGTTTGTAATTTTAAAATTGATAGCTCATTCTGTGGTCACAATCGCATTAAAAATGCTTGAAATGAGAGTACGCAATAGCAAATATCCAAAACACTCAAGCAAACTCACTCAATTGCGATACTCAAAATACGAGCATTGCGTCGAGAAGTCAGTTTAGTGCTCAGTGGAAACCATTTTTTACCATTTAATGTGCGTCCAATCAGGCGCAAGCTAAAAATTTAAGCGCCATCAAAGTGTGTATGTATGTATGTGTGTAGGCATTCACTAAAATTTTAATGTACAAACAAATTTTTGTATTTGTTTATCATTTGTTAAACACTTTTATCATACTAACAAGAGAAGGCGCATATTTTATGTTTTTTTGTTATGTGACCTGCTCCGATATTGTAATTGATGTCTCGCAAATAGACTTAAATAAGGTTTTATTATTAACCTGCCTCCAATGAATGGAATTTTATGAAATTTTTTAAAATAGAACGTCCAGGACCGGACCTACTATGGTACAAGGCGGCATGGCACCTTGCTGGGGAGATCTACTAAAGGGCCCCTTGTCCCTTCCTAGTAGAGCGTCCAGGGCATTGGAAATATTGGAGCAGGGCACGAATTGGGAGCGGAGAAAAAACTACCTTAAAGGCCTGTATGCAGCTCTCAAGAAAAGCAAAAACTCCATATAAAATGGCGTACAAGAAATGGCTAAGAAATTTTCTTGAGTCAAATTTCCTTAAGGCAGTACGCAGTTCTTAAGAAATTTACTACGCTTTCTACTACGGTTTTCTAAAGTTTTTTTGTGAAAAAAGAGCACAAGGCAACCCAGGTTTGCAACAGAAATATATGCCCGTTCCATTATTTCTTGAGGAAAGAAAATTCAAAATTCCTTGGACACACGCGCGAAATAATGGCAATTTTTTCTTGACCGTTTTCTTGAGAGCTGCATACAGGGCTTAAAAGAAGATGTTCGAAATTTATACGCAGTAAGGCTTACTGATCATTAAAGGCGACGTAAATCCACGGGCGGGAGTGGAACGAATGGCATTGGAGCGACTCGGGAAAACAGGACTGTACGGATATCCCCTGAAACATTGGGCAGTTCGGCAGGTTAATGGATTCTGACGTGTCCAAAAATTGCAAATTCTAGAGGTGCCGGACCATTCGCTTACATTAGGCATCCGTCGGTAAGTAGTTACCTGTCAACGATCTCCAGGGATGACGTAGAAGAGATGACACTCGAAACACTCTGCTGCTGAGAGTTTGTGAGGACGAGGAGGCCGATTCCACTTTTGTGTCCATGAAGCGAAGCTAGTGCAGTGAAAAATGGCTTCGTAAAAATTGGTTTCTGCGCCACGGCCAATCTCATTCCAACCGGGATCTCTGGCGGAGCGAGTGTGAGCGATAACCGGCATTGCTTTCGCCTCCAACGGTCTCCTTCCTGACAAAAGCTTCGTCTTAGGCGGATAATTATATTATAAGTGCTCATCCTCTGTGTTTGCATTAACATGCTTAATAGGTGGGAAATCTTGTAATGGTCTTGTTGCCAGAATTAGAAATGCCTTCACTAAGAAAGAATTTGGCTGGTGCATATTTTTTTAGACATTGAAGGCGCTTCGGATACCATGATCAACTCGGCTCTAAGACATGGAGTCAACCCCGATAGATTGTTATAGTTGAATGCTTTAGCCGATGATCGTTTGGACTCAGGCAGAAGAGGGACAATATATCACATGCAGAGTTCATAGCGGCTGTCCTTACGGTGGCGTGGGTTTGCCACCGATTATGAGACTCAGTAGCTATATAGCACTGTCTTGGTGGAGCAGACTTTTAACCAATGACGTGGGAAATCTGCTTAACAAACTTCAAAGGGCCACATTGCCGTATACATATATATGCTACAACATCTAAGGTTGATTTGGATGCGCTGCTAAACATACCGTCAATTTATGTCTTGATTTGCGGAGATGCTATTAAGGCCACTTTCAGGCCTGTAAAATGGAGTTAGCTAGAATTTTCTGACTGCAGAGATCTTAATATATAAAAGGATGTTGAGTTCGCTGAGCCTTAACGCTTAATCTGTGGCCACGTCGAGCTTAGACTTTACTCACGCTTTCTTCAGACGGCATCACAATCAATGAAAAAATATGCAGGGGTGTCTCACTGGTCAATTCGCAGAACCGACAAAGACGATTCGACCATTTTTCCAGCTTATGCAGATATCCTCTTAATCTACATTGTCCTTTAAGGATATTTGTTAGCACTCCAATCTTCTTCTGAGTAAGTTGTGGAATCTCCTCTTGTTATACCGTACCAGTAGATTCTTTGGCTGGCTATCTCCTACTGGGCTATGCCAATTGGGACCATTTAGTGCATTACCCTCCTTCATTCCTAATACTGGTAGCTCGGCGCACAGAGAAATGATGTAGGCCACCGTCTGAAAAATGCTCGAATATTTCCCCAAATTAAAACAGATCCTGGTCGTTAGTACCAAAATACCAGCCTCTATTCCTTGTGGAGCTTTCGAGCAGAGATGCTCCAGATTACTTTGTAGCATAGCTCTATTTTAAACCTCCTTTCAAATATTATGGCTCTTCCTATGGTATCTCTCGGAAATGGAGTGAAGACCAACGATTTTCCATGCTTTCCTTTACCAAATTCCTCTCTATAAAAGCTTATTCGCGTTATTTTGGCGACTATGGTTATATGAAGAAGCTCAAATTCGAGGACTACTTTCAACGCCGTATCACGGGGTCATACGGTGTGAATGGACGAGAATGTGACTGCCGTAGCCGAAAGTGTGCGACTCAGTCCCGGAATATTGACTTCATATTGATCTCATCAATTCAACAGACCACCTTCCGCTTGTTAACAAACCAAACCCACACGTGGCTTCGCTTCACAGAATGACAGTTTGGTGTGGATTTTGCTGCGGTGGTCAATTTTGCCCAGTTTGCTTTGAATATGCTGGCAAGGCTATTTCGGTTAACGACTGAGAAATGGTTAACTATTTTTTGTGAACGGAAATTGAAGACGTGGACATGGACGTTCTTTGGTTTCAGCAGGATGGCGCGCCATGCCACACAGCCCATGCCCCAATCGATCTTTTGCGCGCCAAATTTGATAATCGTGTCATCAGCAGTATCGACGATTATGCGAATAATCCATTAATGATTCAGGCCCTTAAGGCCAATATCGAGCAAGCCATTCGTGAGATAAAGACTTGGATTTTTCTTGAATTAAAAAAAAAAAAAAATTTAAATGGAGGAAGCCATATAGCATAAAAGAGGTGTATAGGTTTATTCCTTCATCTTGGCACGAACACCTGAGTTTGATCGGAATATACATATGATATTCTCCAGCGGAACACTTCTTGTGCCCTGTTAGGATTAGAATAGAGTGTTTTTGGCAGCGTTGACTTGAGAGACCTGAAAGAAACCTGAGATCGTGCAGATTTGAAAGGGATTGGGGAACAGTCCCGCTAAGTAATACTCAATCGTACTTCGACGGAAGTAAGGAAATTGAGCTTGGGATATCCAAAAGGCAAGTCCAATACTTTGGAGGTTAAACTAGGTGTCAGTCAGTGGCTTACCCACGGGGCGTGTTTTAATGCATAGACGCCATATTATACATACATATGCGCCATATTAAAACACCCCTCCCCTGTGACACGTAGTTTAATCCCCGAAACCCCCCACTGGGGTTGCTCGGATCAAGAATCGGAAACTAAATCGAACCTAAGTCCCACCAGGTTGAAGTACGAACCTCTAACCACTTGGTCCCGGTGACCAAAGACAATACATACCTACAATGCACGTATTAATCTATGTACATATGTACATACAAAAGTACATAGTATATTGCATACTAACAGCAATAATTGCACTCATAAATCACTTGAGGTAGAAAAGATGCTCGCCAACAGCCAATCAACTGGCAAGACCATCACCACCACCACGAACGGCACAAGCGCCACAAACCATAGCCACGCAAGCAAAGATGCCAGAGACGCTGTGCGGCGCATGAGCGCTACAGCGAACCAACGAATCAGCTACTGAGTTGAGAAAGCACTCAAAGTGGGGCCAGTGTAGTGCGAGATGCTATTGTAGCGTGATACAAACGAGTTCTGGGCATTGCATAAAAATAGAAAATTTTACGCTATTTACCATAGACAACATCAACTATGGCTGTATAACTTAAGGGTCACTCGGTGGAAAACACTCGAGTGCCATATAATCGAGACGCCGAGTGGCGGCAGTGCCAACAGTGGTTGCGAACGACCTAGTGAGTGCTGCAGACCAGCAAGTGTGATCGAATTATTTAAAATCGAACTGTGCGTGGTGAGTTTATTCAATGGTGTCGCATACGTAGACGTTAACGGACGTGTCAAAGGTCGGGAAGTAGAAGATAAGTGACTTGTAGAAAATAACCGAAAAGAACCAGAATACACCGTAAAATAAAACAGTTAGAAAAGTGAAATTGAGCCAAAGTACCTATAAACAAAGCGAAAAATTTGGTGAATGAAAAATTGCAATGTTGGCCAATTTGGAGAACAGTGGCAGTGGTAGTGCATTGGTGGGTCTCAGCAAGGCAGCACTCACAACGCCATTTTCAATAAATGACATTTTAACGCGCAATAATAGTGGATTAAATGCAGCGCAACAACAACAAATTAGACAGCGCATTTCCGATACCGATGAAATGGCGCTGAGCGCGGGGGCAGCAGCGGCCACCGAAACGCGGCAAAATAAAGGGCGCGAAGTGAAAACAGATTTGAAAATTTCCGCTTCTTGTTGTCACATTGCCGCTGCCGAAACCAATGGCTACAAATTAGGCGCCACTTTAGAAAATACCTCCTCGCGTAATTCCTCGAACAATCCCAGTCCCATTTGTGAGATGCGCGCAGCAGTTGCGAAATTTTCCGCTCAAACATCAATGGAACGTAGAAGCGGCGTCGGTGGTGGTGTCAGTGGCGGAACGCGTGTTGTTAGTAGTGGTAGTGAAAATACCGATTATATGCCCTACTACCTGGCGACGTTGGACAATAACAATCACAGTGATTATCATTTAGCGCGAAAGTTCGGTTATATTGGCGCTGGAAATTTGGTTGGCGGTCGCGATTGCCCCATTGACATGCGACGCTGTAGCAATAATGAATCAGGTGAGTTCGAGCGAAAAGTTTTAAAAGCATTTTAATGATAGTTTCGCATTAGCGCAAGCGGCGACACACATTGTGTAATTTTATGTAGGGCGCTTTGTGCGCTAATGCAATGCGTCCAACTTTCCGAAACTAGCGCAAACAAATTTTCCACAGTGCTATTGTTATATATGTATGTAAACATATATGTGTGTAAGTAAAAGTTTTACATAATTCTCTTCCTCTTCTCCTCTACCCTTGCACAGATTCAGAATCACCGCCTCCACCAATGTTGTCGCTTTATGGTAGCGGCGCCTCGGCTAATGCCACCTCGAGCGCTTGTGGTGGCAACACATCGCCCTCACTGCACGATTCAGATAGCCTCAATGGCTCAATGAGCCGCAAGAAGCGTTCGCGCGCCGCTTTCAGTCACGCACAAGTTTTCGAATTGGAGCGACGCTTTGCGCAGCAGCGCTACCTCAGCGGTCCCGAACGCGCAGAAATGGCAAAGAGCTTGCGCTTGACCGAAACGCAAGTGAAGATTTGGTTCCAAAACCGTCGCTACAAAACGAAGCGCAAGCAAATTCAGCAGCATGAAGCGGCGCTTATGAGTGCTGCCACCAAGCGTGTGCCGGTGCAGGTGCTGGTGCGTGAAGATGGGAGTGGCGCGGCAGCGGCAGCGGCGGCAGCCGCTTACGCGCACATGTTGCCGACGCATGGCATTGACCCTGCGCTGTTGCACATCTATCGTCATCAGGTAGGCGGCAACTTTTTTTTATATTAGAAACTTCTGGATGTTACTTGAATGAAAAACTGTTTTTGTTTTTGTTTTTGTTTAAACGAATTTTTTTTTATCAAAATGTCACTAACTAAAGATGTCCATTTGTTCTTCTGTGAATTGCAGCTACAAATGGCATACGGTGTGGGCGTTTCACTGCCTCAAGTACCGTTTCCCTATTTCTATACACAAGCAGCGAAAATGCCCCAACCCATTCCGCCACCCAGCCAGCCGGCAAATGTGCAGATTGCTGGCAACTTTAGTGCACAAGCAGCTGGAAATTATAGCAACAGCAACAACAATAACAACAACTGTATTGATACAACGAAAAATGCATTGAACTTTGCTAAAATGGAGCATGGCATGCGTTATATTCATTGCTCGTCAGCCTCGTCGTCACCCACTCATATGAATGCCCATGGCAGCGGAGATGGCAGTAGTCCATCGAGATCGTGTTCCAGCCCGCCACCGCGCGGCAGTGCTGTGGCTGTTAGCGCTGTATTTACACCAGCAATGTCAGCGGGTGAAGTTGAAAGCGGCGCCGAGACACATTCTGCCACTACGGAGGATTGCGATGAGAATGTGGAAATAGATTAAGTTCAAGGAGAAAGTAAAGAGATTTTTGATGCGAGCGTGGAATATCAAAGAGTTACACAAAAATTAGCAAATTGCCATTTTAATCAATAACAAAATTTGTGATAGTGAAAGTTTTAATCGGTTTAGTTGTGTATTTACATACAAATATGCTAATATGTAGATATGTATGTCAAAATGTAATTGCAAAGTGTTTAGTTTTAGTCAGTTGCTTAGTTTAGTGTGTATTAGACATAGCTACATGTGAAAAAAAAAATTTCAAAAATAAAAAAAAGTTAAAATATTTGAATAAAATCAGCTCGTTAAATATTTCTTATATACTGTGTGCACTTTTCGACTGTAAATTCTTTGGCCGTGTTCAACAAATCGCGCCAGTAGTTTCTCTTTTGTGCCAACTGACACCAATTTGAAATGCCATCGCAGTGGGGGCCTCCCTCTTCCTCTGCTACCACCAGCGGGTTCCAAGTTGAATACTTTCTGAGCTGGAGCGTCGCACAGTGTACTTGTTTAGGGATGTGAGTGATCAAAAATCTATAACGTTTGTATGAGTTTACATTTTTTCTCAAGGTTTTTTTGTGTTGTGAAATTTAGAGCCGTATTCTTGTTTTCATACATTTTAAATTCAAAAATGTCTAATTGTCGATTCGTACAAAAACAACAATCTGGTCAGTTAAATTGTCTATCGGTAGTCAAAACAAAAAATTTCCGTAGGCTCCAATTTTACCTTAAAATAAACAAAAAAAAAAATATTTGTAGTTCATAACTTACGGCGCAGTTTATTTCTGTTTGGCACGTAGAATATGGATTCACAGTCTTGCCCCTAAATTTTATATGGGAACATTCCGCCATCTTGGATGTAAGGTTATTTTTGGGCTTTTCGCGATTTGCAAGCTAATTTTGCATATTTCGTAAAAAAAGTTAAATACAAATTTGTAGAGAATATAATATCCCACATTTTTTGTATTTACGGCTTTTAAGAAAAAAAAAAGTTTGATTGTAAATAAATATCAAAAAGTGCGAAAAATTGGTCAACTGTAACAGTTTTCGCCATTTTCCAACAATTTCTCTTGAAAATACTTGGCATATTCAAAAGTGAAAGGTGTAGAGAATTTCATTCTCCCCTACTTTTATACGGACATTTTTTTGGCGACGCGTATATCACAACCGGAAACGTGCTGAACATACATAGCTACATATCGTTACCTTAATATAGAAAGGCCCTATCTCACATCGTCGCTGAAATACAAAAAGCCGTAACTAAGTAAAAAAATCAAAATTCCTTTTTTGATTTATTAAGATGCATTTCATCGAATTTTAAGTCCGCACGTCGTTTTAAGCAATAAAAAATGTTAGTTAGTTACGATTTTTTTGCATTTCAACGACTATATGAGTCTTTTCTATATTAAGGTAACGATATCTATGTAAGGGAAGCGGCGTAAAATTCATTTCCACTTTACCGCTGGGTAAAGTTTTTCGGCGCGTTTTTGTTGCGTGGTTTTCTTGAGCCAGACAGAGTGCTTATTTTCAGTAGAAATTATTGAAAAATGGCAAACACCGTCCCAATGTACCTTATGGTTTATTTTAATTTTTATGGGACGTTCCACGTCAACCGGTACAGTACGATGGCCAATTTTTTTTAAGACATTGTGGCCTTTTGAGAAATTCAACATGGCGTCTTAATTATGGCGTCTGGAATTTTACGCCGCTTCCCTTACACAGCTCCGTCGAGAGAGAGAGGGGAAATGGGTGAATCGCCCCGGGCCCGGGCTCCTAAAGGGGCACGAAATATCATAACTTGTTATTATTATTTCTTTAAATTTAATTGCTCCTTCGTTATAGGCTTGTATTACAAATATATTCCGATGCCTGCAGACTCTATAAATTAAATTAAATGATCATATGGCCCAAAACGACGACTGTTACAATACTTTTTGGCTTACCGCTGAAACTCGCTAGAATACAACTTTCGGATAGTTTTTTTCTTGCATCTGAAAGCATAAGTATTTTGTTGTTTAGGTGTTCTGAATATTTCAAAAGCTGCTTTATATTATCGAAAAAGTCTGCTCTTCTTATATATGTATTTTCAAAAGTTGGTACACAGTTTCTTAGCCTAAGGATGGAACTCAAGAACTACGTATTTATTGAACTGATAAAATTTATTTTGAGGTCAATATTTGCAAAAAATTGTCGGACTGTTACGTTAAAGAAAAAGACTGTTACGTTACCTGTGCGATATATGTGTAGCGATAACGTTATAATTGGGTTTTTTAAATAGCTATTAGTCTGTTTTACGAAATAAGTACCATAAATACGTTTTGGCACGTAATCCAAAGAAATTATGAACATGAGTACGGATTTGAAAGTTTCTGTAGCTGTGCAGCTGTAGATCGTTTCAGAAGTAATTTTCTGTGCAGAGCTCGAGCTCGAAAAGGAAAAATCGTATAGCACCATTCTAGAGTGCATTTTGAAGGATAATAATAGTACTAGCAAAATACTTTAAATAATTCCAATATATTTCTATTATTTAACCCGAAAACCTTGTTATTCTTTTAGCTTCTTATTTTGCTTCTTTTGGCCTCGTTCCTTTATGAAATAATATAATTTTCGGGTTGTGTTATTTTTCTTTGTAATTTTATTTCTGCGCCTATTTGAGTTAGAAAGAATATGAATAGCTTACAATGTTGCTTTCAAAATGAGCCTCATCTCTAACTAAATAAAGAATAATTTTACCTGAAAATTCAATTAGTAAAAAGGACTCTTACGTTGCAAATAGTTTTCCACCAAAAACACATACATAGATAATGTAGAGTATTATTTTATTGTGAAAGAAGGCCGAAAATGCTCTAAGAAAACCAGATTTTTACATTTTTTGGCCAGGTGAATTCCGTGCCAAAAAAAAAAAAACATTTGATATATTGGCGTGTTACATTAAATTAAAAAATGCTGCCGACCTTATTTTCATTTACCAAGTTAATCGCTGATTATTTTGCGAATACTCTTTTTATTAAGTTGAAAGTAATACAAGGCAAGCGAAAACAGGCAAGTATAATGCGAAAAA